ATGTGCTCTAGTCCATGATAAAGACTGACAGATGACCCCCCTCCCAGTCTGATCTGTGCGTTTCATTCCAAGAAAGTATTAAGTCCATACATCTGAGCAGATCTTGGACCCTCCTGATACAGGGGAATCGTTGCCAAGTACAAGGTTAGCCAGTGATCCAGATGCTAAGGCGTGGGAAATTTCTTTGCAATGAGAGAATACAGACTGACTTAATGATGATTGTGGATCTCTGAAATAAACAATCTGATTCAAAGTGTAAGAAAACACATATGGTCACTGTTAATCTTATTCAATTTGTACAATTATGGGTATTTTAGTGGAGGAGAACATTTCTACTAAAACACAGCATCTTCTTACTAGCAAACATACAAAACTTGAGGACAAGATTGTATCTGCTGTTTAGATATGTCTGTACAAAGTCTTTACAAGACTATCTGCTTGTGTAAATATTAATTTGGGGGGAAAAAATCTGAGCAGAGATGGGGATATTTGCTAGCTTTAAAACATTTGTATATCATGATGATCTTAGAATTATGTAGGTTACTATGATGTGATGATATGTATATCTGGAAGAAGAAGTGCACTTTAAAACAAAGTATACTTATGCTTTTTGTCTCCCACCCCTGACCTAAACAAGCTCTACTCAGCAAGGACATCTCTAGATGTTTGCACTAACCACCTATAGTTTTTTTATGACAGGGTCTCTTTAACCTCCTAACACTTAACCTAAATTTATACCCTCCCCCCCACTTTCTAGTTTAAAAGCTCCTCCAGTCTTTCTACCATTTTCCCTCCCAGGAATGCTGCACCTTTCCCACTAGTGATGGGCACGATGTTCGCGAACACACAAACTGTCAGGGAGTTTGGCAGGCTATTCACCCCCCGAGCGGCCCACAAGCCACTGCGCCTTGTGAAGCCCTGATTGGCTAAAGCCTTTCACCTGACCACAGGTCAGGTGCATGCAAGACTTTGCCCAATCAGGGCCCAGTACCCTGTAAGAGCCATAATTGGGCCAAGTTATGATGACTTTGCCCAATCATGGCTCACCTGTCAGATGCCCTACAACTCTAAACATTTGGACGGAGCTAGCTGTCAGCGTTAGCTCTGCCTAATTGTTTATATGTTGCCGGCATCTGTCAAAATGACATTATGCAGCGGGTGTTCCTCGAAAGCGGACAGGACGGCAGTCGTCGTCTCTTTTTTTAAAATTATTTCTATTTGGTTTTTATTTCGTCAAGTTCTCACCGTCATGGACAACGCTGGACATTGTGATTGACCCTGGATTACGTCGGCGAATCCATTTTTTTTTCTTTCTTTTTTTAAATATAAAAGACTTGTCAAAAACTTGTCTTTTATTTTCTTCCAAATAAAGGATTTTATAAAAAAGTCTGGCCTCTTTTTTTACAATTTTCTGTAACCCTTTAGTGAATGGGTAGGGGGTACAAGTACCCCTTACTCATTTACAAGGGGTGGGCCGCATCTGGGTGCCCCTTTATTAAAAGGGTTTTCTGATGTGAATAAGCCCCCTGCCTGCACCCCCACAACCAACACCCCAGGGCTTGTGGGGAAGAGGCCCTTGTCCCCATCGGCATGGGGGGGATAAGGTGCTTTTCCAGGGTAGCCCCTGGAAAAGCACCCTCCCGGTGCCAAGGGAGTGTATCGCTTGTGCCCGGTATCACAGGGAGGAGGGGGCCGCTCGTCCCCCCCCCTTTCCTGCCCTGCCAGGCCTGTGCTCGGACCAAGGGTCTGGTTGGGAATTTTAGGGGGGACCCCATGTGTTTTCCCCCCCCATTTTTGGGGGTGGGGTTCCTCCTTAAAATTCCTACCAGACCTTAAGGGCCTGGTATGACTTTGAGGGGGAACCCCACACACCTTTTTTTTTTTATTTACATGGGGTCCCTTCTAAAATTCCTACCAGACCTAAAGGGCCTGGTATTGTTTGGGAGGGGGAACAGAACACTTTTTTTTTTTTTTTTTTAAATGTCATTTTGTTCTTTACAAATGTCAATTTTGCTGCAGCAGGTTCTGTACATCGTACAGATGTACCACTTTACAGGCAGTTTAGGGGGACCCCCCCAGACACGATATTTAAAGGAATTTTTCATTTTTATCGTTTCACTTTATGTGATGTTAAAATCAGTGCTCCTTTAAAAACTGTATTTTTTTTCTTAAAAACTTAATTGTCCCCCAGGGCAGTACCCGGATCCCCATACCTTTTTTATGGCCAATAAATTGCATACAAGCCTTCAAAATGGGGACATTTGATTTTCAGTGTTCTACAACCATAGACTTGCATTGAGCTCGAGTTCGAACTTTTCCCATGTTCTAAAGTTCGGTCGGCTCATCACTAAATGTAACCATACACTTAATGTTCTATCTAACATTTGACCTAAAACGTGTGTGTGCGTGTCTAAATCGTTAATACATGCTACATACTAATCACTGGATAATTCAAATTGCTGCGCTATTATTTTACAGTGGATATTATGCTCCTAATTCCAGTGAGCCCCAATAGTTATCTTATTATGATTATTTCTATTTTGTCCTCTTTTTTTTAGGGTTAATTAGATGATTCCTAAAGTCTAAATTGCTGTCTTTTTATTATTCTTTTCTCTCCTCTTTTTGTGAGGTTAATTGGATGAGTCTTAAAGTCTTAATCGCTGACGTAAATGTCAGAGATGTTAAACCCCTATGAGAGATCCGTATGTACAGTAATGATTTAATGATCCACACCCAATAGATAGGCCATAATCATAGTTCTGAACCTGGGCTTTAAACATGGAGACAGGAAAGGTTCTTGGATAGGAACCAACATCACAAAATGATTGTTTCTCACTTATGAGGGAAGGGAATATATGGAGCTAGAATGAAATGCTACAAAGCTTTGAAGACAAGCTAATGAATAGATGGTATAAATGTGTCTTGTTTTTCTTTTTTATATCTTGGTTTATATCATTACAATTCTGCCACATCCCAGTTCAAACACCCAGTCCTTATTTAACCTTTATACTTAAAGGAAAACTGATTTATACATTTTTTTTAAAAAATGAAATGTTGTTGAAAACACTAGGGGCCCTAAAAACAGGCAGATGAAAGAAATGTGGATTAAAACACTGCTGCGCATAGGGACCAATCAGGTTTTATATATAAAATTTAAGGGAGAATTAAACAAGAAACCTGAATGATCACTATTGGCAATGCTTTTGTTCCTAATTTTCTATTCCTAACTTTTTTTTTTCTAAACAGCCACTTTGCCCCCTCAATATATCCAGAAATACTTTTTTTTTTAGTTATAATAAAGGGTTTGGTGTGTGTCTGCATATGAGGAACGTCTTAGACTTTGGTGATGTGGAGAGTGGTAGGTTTAGTAGTATTGCTATAGCACTTAGGTTGCCCTCGAACTATTATTTCCATGTACCCCATGAGGAACTTTGGGTGAAAAGATGGAACTTTGGGTGAAAAAAGGTGAAGAAGAAAAGGAATGCCAAAAAGACAAATTGATGAGGTAGTTAGGTACAAATGGTGCTACTGAGTTATATAGATCAGTGGTTCTCAACCTGTGTAACCTCGGGACACACATTTGTCCTCGGTCATTAAGTCGCGACCCAAGTTGCACTGCAATGGAACGTAAGGCATTGCGGTACTGCGCTTTTCGGTGCAGGCGATCGAACTGTGGGTGGGAGGTGCGTTTGGGGTGCCATTCAAGTGAATGGCAATGCCACACCTCCCACACAGGAACGAACGGTAAGTGCGATTGCATGGTACAGTGCATTAATCGCATGTTACTGTGCGATTAACGCACTATACTAGTGTGAATGGGCCCCTTAAAAACACTGACAGACACACAACCACAGACATATTTTTTTTTACATTTTTTTAAGATACATCCAGTCTCCCTTCCTTATGAGAACTGGAGTGGATCCTCAACCTGGGGTACAGTGTGGGCTGCTGTGGCTATTTATGTAGCGCTCACAATTTAAGCAGCACTTTACATAGTTGTACATTCACATCAGTCCCTACCCTTAAGGAGCTTACAATCTAAGATCCCCATATGTGTATTGCTTTTATAGCTCCCATGCATGCCCGTAGAGGTGCTGGGAGCCAGGAAGTGATGTCACTTCAGGGCATGCATGGGAGCTGTAAGCATGGCACGTATGGATGGAGCTCCATTGCGAACATAGCCCCAGCCCACCCCACCTTAAAATCGACACTCGGTGCCAGACAGCATATTTTGAATGGCTGCTCAGTGCGAGAACTGACAGTGCTGCGCTAGGGGGAGGCTGAGGAGCCTCTCACCTAAAAAAAGTGGAAGGCATATGGCGACCCACTGAACATAGGGTCGCGACCCACTTTTGCGTCAGGACCCACCAGTTGAGAACCAAGGATATAGATGCTTTGTGCTGGATTACTCCCTCCTTATACTGCAAGATCAATACTTCATTGCGAAACACAGACAGCCACTCTTTCAGGCACTCTCTTAGACATGAAAGCCTTGGGGGACACTTTTACCCCCCCATCCCCAACATGTTGGGTTTTGACTAATAAGAAAGGCAATCATTTGAACCTAACCACCTTATCTTTTTGGTGTCCTGTTGTTCATCCCAACATTTCTTCTTATAACATGCAGGAGTGGTCATGCACAGGTTCTAATTTGTTACATTCTTCCACAAGTACCTCCAACCTATTTCACTGTACCTTTCTGCTCCCTTGTAGCAAAAGATTTTTATTACTAACTATGCCCCTCATCCAGGCTTTCTTCAACAGGCCTATGACATTTTGAGGTTCTGCCCAAACACAGATCTCCCTTCAATTTGGAATAACATGGTTGTGCTACATTGAAACAAAACAAAAACCTTTCCAACCTGTTCAATTTGACCAAATAAAGATCATTGTAATGAGTAATTGTTGCCTGTTCTGTTGGTTCATCAGGGCCTAGAATTATGGGGTGGTAAGCCTCATTTTTGGCCCATCAGTGTGATGATCAGTATTAATGGCCAATACTGAGGTGTAACTGGGGGAATGAATCATGGTCAGATCTCCAACCACAGAAGCTGGGTTGATGTTTGCATGCTAGGTCAACCTGGGATTTAAGGCACCAGGTTGCTGGGAAGGATAAATTACCGGACTGCTCTGTGGTGACAGCTATGTTTTTGGTAATTTGTTTAATTTTATTTAAAGCAAACTTGTCATGACAAATATAAGGGGGGTGCTATTAATGACCTCTGAAAATGCTAACTGAATAGCAATGCTAATACTCTGTTTGTGTTGGTATATTTGTCCACATTGGAGAGATTTGTCTTTGTGACTACCATCACTTGGATGGTAGTCACAAATCACTTGGATACCAAATCACCAAGTGGACTACCAAATCACTTGGATAGAAAGGATGAGAAATCCTCCCCATTGGGAATGTTGTTCAAACCATTTGCCCCTCTACCCAAAACAGAAGAACAATGGTTTGAATGGTACGTTTCCTGAACACACTTGTAAGACTAGGTTAATGTACAGCTGTTTATTCACTAAGCCCTGCAGTTACACAGTGTCGTGAGCACTACTTTTCAATGAATTTCAGCGACTCCTTACTTATCTTGTAACTTCAACTTATACACTTGAGAACCTGGAAGGAAGGGAGCAACAGCAACACCACCCTCCCAATCATTTCCACTTCTTCCCTGCAAGTTAGATCACTTTTTCCTATTTTCCTCCTTTGTTTTACATTGTTCTCCCTACACTGCACCATTTTTAGAAGCAAGTCTAATGCCAATGAATTTAAGCTAAAACCTAAAGCCTAAATACAATGAACCTCTCTGAATCAGATTATGCTGGATAAAGGGCATAGCCCTGAAATAATACAAGTCACAAACCTCTGCCATCAGATCAACACTCTTGTCGCTTGATAAAAACCACATGTGGAATATTCTCATACACGTTGTAATGAGTGAATGATTTTACAAGTGTGTTGTTTTTTCCTTTGGAAAAGAAAACAAAATGAATAATTAATTCAAAAGAAAATAGGGTTCAGCGGCCTAAATTCCACCAGTTTCTGAGGAACTACAAGCCTCAACATGTCCCGTACTGGAAAAATAAATGATATTAATTAGTAAAAAAAGAAAAGGTTTTCTTAGATCGAGAAGAGACAGCATATACTGTACATGTCAATTGCAGATGTGTCAAAGTACGTTAGCACTCAGTCACTTTAAGTCCTATGTCCCTCAGTAACAACTGCCAGTATGTTCAATAGGTACATGGGTTTAGTAATGTTTGGTATAAGCATACACATTGTATATGTTCATTTTATAGAGTATATTTAATAGTTTTGGCGGGTATATTTTTAAAAATCAGGGGGAAAAAAAAGATTAAAAATGATTTCTTGGCTTTAGGATGTTTCAAATTTTATTCTATCTCCTTAGCCGTAAAAGTCCTTTATTTGCAGGATTTAAAGTGATATTTATTTCACTTATTTTAACTTGATGTACCCGCGGCCCCCTCCCCTCCTGTTTACAGGTGTCTCCTTTGCCTAGCCAGAGCAGTGAATCTTCCATTGTCAGATGACTCTTTCCCAGGTTTTACCTAGACAAAATATGCAAGAAAATGGGCAACTTCTGCTGTGCTTTCTTCTTTGCTAACACAGTGCTGTGGGAATCCCTACGTCATGTAAAATGCTTATTTGTAAAACAAACAATACATTAGTATATTAAGGGATAAAAAAACCTAAAAGAATGCAAAAGTTTTATAAATGACATAAGAACTATTATATACCGTAGTTCCTATAAATATTTAAAGGACTCCCCCCACACTGCAAGGATTAAATGCAGGTTTTTTTTCTGTAGGGGTCGGGATAAAAAAGATAAACTCACTTGATACTCGGTCCTGCGGCAGTCAGCATTCACCTCTCTACCCCTTGCTCTGGCTGTGGTATGTTCCTCAATGTGCTAACCTCTAATGCAAGTCAATGGACTTTAGACAGCCACAGCCCAGTGGAGAAGAGTCTGTGGGGACTGGTGTAGCAGCCAGGCAGATGAGACTCAGGTAAGTATATTTCTTTATCAACGCCCCTAGACCAAAACAAGCAGTTAACCCTTGCAGTGCGGGGGTAGTCCTCCTTAAAATAAAAGTGATTAAGAATGTTCAGTATACAGACTGGTTGCAGAATATAGTCAGTTTAGATTTCTGTGGGCATTAAAAGTGGGACTGAACTTTACAATCCATGACTATGACAGGCTGTAGGAGATCTATGTTAACTGAACTCCTCTCATGCTGCTAGAGCAGGGGTAGCCAAACTCCGGCCCTCCAACTGTGGTGGAACTACAAATTCCATGATGCATTGCAAGATTCTCACAGCCACGACTCCCGGAGAGAGATGCATCATGGGATTTGTAGTTTCACCACAGCTGGAGGGCCGGAGTTTGGCTACCCCTGTGCTAGAGACCCAACGTGATATTAGAGAAAATCTCCCTATAGTGAGGAAAAACACCCTCTTACACAACAGAACAAATCCCCCATTTGGAGGTTTTCCCCCTCGCCTCCTTTTTTGGTGAACACTGTAAAAGTTTGGATTCACCATCTTCTTCTGTCCTAATTGCAGTGGTCCAGAGTAAAAAAAAAGTAGGGTGATTTTCCTTGCAGGGACAGCAGACAGACAGCAATAATATAACAGGCCTTTCTAAAACTACATAAAAAGCTTTTGGCTATAGACTATATACACTTTAAACAAGCTTAGATGCTGATACAAGTGCAGTTATGGAATTATGAATCACATTGGCTTCATGGTGGTACTGACCATCAGAAATTAGCATTTACATTGCCCACATATTAATTTACGCCATAGTCACTCATAGTGCCTGGAGTAGCAACTGTGAATTTAAGGTCAAATTGCGCCCAGTCTTATTCAACCCACTTCCTGTGAGACCAAGGTGTCAAAGCTCCACCCCTTATTCTAGACTTATAGGAGAATGCTGCAGTAAGCTGTTCCATGCCATTATGTACCACCACTCTCTGCAACTTTTTGCTCGCTGTGCAAATAAGAAACCACCAGTAATGTCTCCAGACCAGTCCAACGTCATCTGCAAAATATGTATGTGGTGGGTGGTGGTGGGGGGGTTGGTAGATAGGTACCCAATAGGGGGGAGGGGAAAGAAATGTGTAGGTAAACATGGTAAACCTGGAGTTGTGTTAAAAAATACCAAAGTGGATAGCTGCCAACAATCCTTAAAAAAATGTATAGGACGCTTTCCTTCAAAAGGACAAAATGGCAGTGTGCATCGTGTGCTGCCTTGTTCTCACCCATAGAACACAGGAGTAATGGGATGATTGGAAAAAGAGGTGGGTATTCCTGCAAAAAAAAAACAGGACTTTTGGCAATAAAAAATTCTGTTTTGGGCAAAAAAAGAAAAGTTGAGGTTACATTGTAAATCTTAAGTTTCAGAAACATTTCACATAATTGTCCTGATTTCAGCAAATATGTCTGCCCCCTTGGGGTTAAGGTAATATTAACCTCTAAATCTTTTTTATCCAATAATAAATCCAGATTAAATAAATATACATCACCCAGCAAAAAAATTATTTACCTTATTGCCCAAGCACTTACAGTCATCATGTTTCTAAACAGCTGGCTACAACTCTCTCAGCCCAGCTTCCCTGAACTTCCTTTCCAGTACACAATCACAAGGACAGAGCAGTCTCCAGCAGTTGCCCATCTATTAGCTTGGAGAAGAGAGAGGAGGAGAGGGGGGAAGGAAGAGAGAGGAATGGGAAGCAGGGTAGTGGCTTGTCTTGCTTTGCCTATGTTTGTGAAGACACACACAGCTTACTAGCACACACAATCGTGGCTCCATAGCACCCTGCAAGGGAAAGGAGCCCCCCTAAACCAGGATATCAGGACGAGTGCACAGGGGGATCAGCTGATTCTGGAGGAGACAAACTTTTAAACATCAAGAAGCAGCAGTAATTGTTAGGGATTAAATCAGCATTTGAAATGGCTTATAAACATTTTGACTTTAATATCACTTTCAGTGTTCAGGAAAGCTTGGTAGGTTAGCATTAATTTTGTTAAAGGTAGAGCCGTCCTTTAATAGAAACCTGAAGATGAGTAGTGATGAGCCGAGCACCCCCGTGTTCGGTTCGTATTCGAATGGCCGAAAAGTTCGAATACGAACTCGAACTCAATGCAAGTGAATGGGGTCGAACGTTCGAAAATGAATGTCCCCTTTAAGAGGGCTTATACAGGCAGTCCCCGGGTTACGGACATCTGACTTACGGACAATCCCTACTTACGAACCGGGTCCACAGTTCTCCTCAATGTACCGGCAGCTGCATTATGGAATGTCCACGGTCGAACAAACCGCAAACATCCCATAAAGTTCGGCGAGTGCTCGAACTGCCGATGTTCGATTCCAACACATGTTCGAATCGAACACTCGGCTCATCCCTAAAGATGAGTACAGTGATGCTTATAACCCAACTGAAAAATAGATTTTACAGGAAATGTGTCAGAAGAGACTAGACTAGTTTTTCAGGGCACAGACATCGGGGTCAAATTCCTATTCTGGCTTTACTACTTGTGAGTCACTGATCGTCAACAAGCATGCAGCCATTGAAGACTTGTGTCACACCTGATATGTCCATAATTGTTCCAGTCAATGTCTCACCAAGTAGTGAAGACAGGGTAAGGACAGCCCCAAACTTGCACCTTGAAATACATCAATAGTAGCAACTGTATTTCTTTCCTGGCTGATTGCTTTAAAATACTTGTGAGCATTTCATGTCATTTTGTTGACAACTGCCATTTTGTAATGCACTTATTTCAACAGAGTCAATTGTCAAGAAGGGGTTAAATTTCATGTTCTGGAGCAATACAATTCCCATATGCAGTTGTGCTCCCAAAGTGGATAAAAAAAGCCTTGCTAAGGCAATTTTTTTTGTCTTGTTTTTAGGCATGAATAAAAATGTAAGCAAACGCACGGTAAACACCATCGGTCTTCTGCACAGATCCTGTACATGTGCAGAACGCAG